TATTTTAAAATATTATAATGTTTTTGTTTTTATCAGCTTTTGTCAACATGATATATAAATAAAGTAATGTTGCTATAAATAAAACATGCTCTGTGTATTCACTGATGAATAGACAGGGTTTATTTAGCCTACTTTCATAGTTGTGAATTAAAAGTTGTAAAAATCCAAAGGTAGATATTCAAATGTCCATTATGATAGACATCCAATCTGCCCACAAAACATTAAAAACTCAACTCAGTATGTTAGATTTTACCTGCTCTCCTGTCAGAATTAATCATTTTATCAGGGAACTTTGGTTTAGAATGAACTCCATTCAAGATTCTGTTTGTGTGTGTTGGAATTTGGCCATCTAATTATCTCCAACTTCTGTGTTCTGCTCCAGGATGTAAAAGTTGAAATATCTCACTTAGCTGGAAAGGAAACAAAGAACATTTCTGCTTTATTAGATTAGTTTCCAATGGTGAGAGTCAGGAGAGATGGAGGCAAGAGCGTGGATGTTTTTCACAGTGTCGTGACTACATGGTATGTACCTCAGGCCTCTGAACCACCGTAACGCTCCAGGAGGAGGATATAATGCAGTCTGTCCATATGCTACCCACTGCCTGTTTTCCAGTAGACTTCCTTCAGTCTGCTGTCAGTTCATGTAACATGCACATGCAATATATGAAACAAGCCTCTATTTTGTTTTCAGCTGCTCTTTATGTATCAGTAATCTAAACTTAACTTGTATCTGATTCAAATGTCACCCAATGAGTTTCTTTGCTTCAAATGCTAAAAAAAAGTAGTTTATAATATAGTATAATTTTAAAAAACAATAAACTGCACTGAAAGCCATTATCGAAAAGAAAGATGTTTACCGTACATCTGACAGCATTTGGAAAGTTTAATGTGGGTAAAGTGGGTAACACTTCACTGCATCACATGTTTTGTTGCTGTGATTGGTTTAGGTGTACCCAATTGCATCCAGAGGCATTTTGGTCCACGCCCATTGTTAATGCCCCTTTGAAATCGAAAATGAATAGAAGGGAAACAGAATTAGTCTGGTGATGCCAGGGGCTCAGTGTTTTTTATTAATTTAGTTTTCCTGTCTCTGGTCTGCAGCCACAGTTAGCACAGGTTACTATCATTTAAATTCAACAGCATCTGCAGGGTTTTGTTTAGTAAAAAGTGTTCCTTCCCCATCTTTTTGCTGTGCACCTCTCAGCCATCACCTGTCAATCAAATAGTTTGAGTTTTAGCTGGCTCGCCTTTCCTTGTCTGTTCAGCTCGTGTAGCTTCTGCTCACTGGTGCTCTCTTTATTGTTCTTTGATGCCTCTTTATTGTAAGCAAACTGAAAGCAAAAACACATCGCTTATTGTGCCGTGAGAAAAGCTGGCTCAATCAAAGGCATTTCTAACATTTGAGTTTACAGCAGTTCAGCTGTGAAAACCTTCAGTGTGACTGCCGGGAGTCACCCAGCCATTACCCAAATGGGTTTGGAGAGTTTTGTTCTTAAAATGAATCACACCTTTGGTCATAAAATGTTTACAGATGTGAAAAGCAGCACTCATAAGGAGAAAAAAAAGCTAACATTTAAGATGCCCTATAGTGGCTTTTAAAACGAATGCCTGCACTTTACTCAAATGCCTGCACTTTACTCAAACTCCACATCATGTGTGACCATTAACTAAAACATGCTGTGATGTTTTAGAGTTTTGGATGTATATTCTTAACTTCCATTCAGTTCAGTATTATAAGAAAATCAACTTGCAGACTAGCTTGATGTGTTATCAGACTAACATTATCTGGTAATGTAGTTGTACGTGTATATTTAAAAAGGTTGCAAATATGGTCAGAACTTCTCAAAAGTATTGTGAACTGTATGAGTTTTAATAAACTGAATAAAACATCAACACTGGTATGCTCGTTTAAAAACAGCCATTCCAATTGGTTTTTAAAACCTTTATTCACGCAAAGAAAGTCAACAGAGATGTTGTTTATGTTTATAGCCACCAGCGTAGCTTCTAAAGGTCTCAGAGGTCTTGGTGTGTTTTGGACAACACTGCGGTGAAGTGTCCTGTTTGTGTTGAATGATGTGTCTTTTGTGGACTAATGCTCTTGAGTTGCTCACAGTGTCAGTGTAATGGCTTCCCAGGTTAATAATTAACATGGCCAGCCCCTCACACTGTGTGGCTGCAGGTTGCCAAGTTCATGTTGTCCCTGAGAGGTGTGTGAGGCGTTTCTTCAGGCATCACGCTGTGTTTGACAGCGGTGATAGTTAAAACTCACAAACACAAGTTCGTTCAAGAGCCAACATTCATTTCTCTTTTTAATATTCTGTGTTTGTCATTTACTTTACCTAAACAACCTTCTGAGGTAAATTCATTGACGGTTAATTTGAGTCATTGAACAAGCAAAAATACCTAAAAAATGCAAACCAACAACAGGATTTTCATTTTGAGGGAAGCCAGTATGCTGTTAGCTGCTGCAGTCGTTTCCTTTTAATATTGAGTTTAATTTAAAATCTCTCCGAACATGTCCATGTAACTATTTGGCTTTAAGAACAAAAACAATGACAATGGAAATAAATACGTCAAACTACAAACCTGTTTTAATCTGCGTCAACATCACAAATTAAAACTAAGCTGTTACAGACCCCCAGAATCCATCCCAGTCTGCTGCCAGGCCCTGTGTGAGACACTCAGATAATGATGAATGGAAAAATGTCTCCAGTCCCATCAGTTGGTTTGTAAACAAAGCCTGCAGTGGGATGAGAGTAACGCTGGACACCACTGATTATGGATCAGGCTGATGAAGGTTGTCAGGTGGTTTGACATGCAAAATCATAGTCATCACCGCAGTAAATGGAGAGTAGCTGTTTTAAATGTCGGCTCTGTCTAGTGTCTAGTTTATAGTGCATACAGCCAAAACCCTGAATGATGAACCCTGAATTTTATTGTCAGTAAAATCTTGTGTCTTGATGTTACTACACAGAACTGCAGCCAATAGTTCTAATGGTTCTTCTCCAGTTATAGTCTGTGAAGAAAACTATACTGAAATTTTAGAAGTCTTTCATAATTCTTTTGAAAAGTAACTTTCATTTCATTGGTGCTCAAACTGAAAACTGAACTGAACTCAATTGTAGTTATCACAACACTATCAAGATTATGAACTGCGTGTTTCTTTTAACCTTTACATCAGTTACTGTTGTGCAAATGGCAAAAGTTAAAGCAGCAGTGATGGTTGACTTCTGTCCACTTGAGGGCAGCAAACAAGCTGTACAAAATGTATATGTTATCATCTCATAAAGTTGATAACATGTTTGATAACATGTTAGCAAACAATTGCAAGCCCATGCGTTGTAGCAAAAAGCTTCCTATTTACACATTCAGCAGACGCAGAGCTACATTACCATCCTGTTGGATTTGTGTTAGTGTCCACATGATGAATGTCGAATCAATAATCTCTTTCATTTTAGCTCTGTTTTTGGTCTCCACCAACTCCAGCTCTCTGGATAGTTAACTGCTAAATGCTTCACTTTCTTTACTAGCTAGTCTAGTCTCTTAAGTGCATCTACTGTTTGGTGTTGGGCAGGTAGTGTACAGTGTGTTTATCAGAGTCAATAAAATAGCATTCCTAATATAAAACAATGAACTGAGTGACACCAAACTGCTCAGAAGAGCTGAGGGGAACTTCCGTCTGTGAAGGTGAATATTATCTGTGGGGTTTGTCACTACCAGCAACATCATTCATATTAAACATTAAACAGATTAAATGAACGTGATCCATTTTAAATGTAAAAATATTTATTCATGTGGCATTATACTTTGCCCAAACAGCTGAGATTTTAGACCTGAAATACACAAGGCTAGTGTTAACAGTGTACCCAAATATGTTTGTCATGACTGAACAATTGACTGAAGTAATGACCATCATGTTATTGTTTCTTCAATAATCTGCCCATCTTTACGTGTTCTTTTGTTGTTTGACTAAATCTTGTTAGCCTCCTAAATGCTTGCTATGTGAATATTCTGGTTTGTTTATTGTTCCTACATTAATTAGATTCAACTTTAATTCCACTGCAGATTTTTGTCATGTGTGTTTGTCATGCGTCACCACCCTGCAGTGCCTCTACGCACCTTATTTCAGTTCTGGAGAATAAGATGAAGGTCTTCCCATCATATTGATCTTCCTTTGTGGCTTTGAGGCCTGTTGTTGTGTTGTTGCATCCTACATTTCATTCATAGTCACGAATCAGGTGATGACGGCAGTGACGGTCAGCACACAGCTAATTAGCAGTGTCCAGTGCACCATCTAGTGGTTGAGTTTTGGAACATGTACCCTGAGTATTTCCCATCATGCTGTCAACTGTGTGTGTGAAAACTATCTGTTGTGTTCACTCATGAGTCAGGAAAAACACTTATTTCATATCTGACCCCGTTTGTTGTGAGTAATCGATAGTTTAAACCTGCGGCAGGCAGGTTTTTCAAGCACAAACAACCTGCAGGCAAAGACACTCAGTCTCACCTTGAGTAAAGACGCACTCCACCCACACAAGTTTTCAGATGTTTTCACAAACTGAGTTCAGACCTGTGTCACACCTTCTGCTCCAATCAAAAGTCTTAAAAGATGCTGGAGGCTGTCTGATTGTGTCTGAACGTTGGACTGACAAAAATGTTGATTCTGAAAATCAAGCTCTTTCGAGCCTGTATAACTTTATTTATTGCAGCCCTCCCAAAACATTTGAAATGTATAGTAATCATGTTTACTTGGGTTATATTACCACTGCTTTTTTATTTTCTTTTTTTTGCTACTGGTGTTACTATTTTTGCTGCTTCTATTACTGCTGTTATTACTGCTGCTGCTACAACAGCTGCTACTAATGCAGAAAATATATCAAGCCTAATGCAAAGAATAAAATTAACATCATTATTTCCAATAATAATAAGAAGAAGAAAAAATGAAGATTTGATTATGAAGATTTGCTTTCTCACCAGTCGTGTATTTTCTTCCCCCACAGTGGAGAGAGCGGCGCTGGAAAAACAGAAAGCACCAAGCTGATCTTAAAGTTCCTGTCGGCCATGAGCCAGCACTCCCTGGAGGTATCGTCAAGAGACGGGACGTCACATGTGGAGGAGGCGCTGCTGGAGAGCAGGTAATTGTTAATGTTATTTATGGTTAACTATTTTAGTTGGCAAACGTTTAATTGAAGAACCCTGGTTAATGTCCTGGTTAATCCTGCTCCTTCTTCACTCCACAGTCCCATCATGGAGGCCTTTGGAAACGCCAAGACCGTCTACAACAACAACTCCAGCCGCTTTGGGAAGTTTATCCAGCTGCATTTCAGCCAGAAGGGCAATATCCAGGGAGGCAGAATCATTGACTGTATCCTTTAAAACCCACTCAAGCGGCTGCCACTTCCTTTCAACTGCACATTTCCTATCCAGGCTTAACATACAAGAAGGAAGTACTTGAAGCGGTTGGCAAAAGATGCCTTTAAGGCTAAACATATGCAGAGCCATGGACAAGGTAGAGCCTCAGACTTCCAATTGTTTTTTACTCTGGTTAGTATGAACTTGGAAAGTCAGGTGTAAGCTAACAGGTGTAAGCTAACAGGTGTAAGCTAACAGGTGTAAGCTGGCAAACAGTGCTTTGCTTTAGTCATTGTGTTTGTAGAACATTAGCAGAATCACATTGGTAGCCACTGTAGAGCCATCTCCAGCAGTTATGTGCCTTGACTGACACTTTTTGATCACAGACCTCTTAGAAAAGGTGAGTGTCCTTCCTCCTACTAAGTCTGTAATTGCACTTGAGTGTGTTTAAAGTGACACTCCATCAAAATCTATTGTCAGACTTCCCGTGGGCTTCAATTGCTAAAAATGTCATCGGTAGAGCAGCTCTCAGTCGTGACAACTTCAGGGTGTAGAAACAAAGCATTTAAACCTCCACAAACACTTCCCAAACCACTTCTGCAGCACACTGCTTTTCTAATCTATCTGTATGTTCCAAACTCTCAACACTGTGCCAAAATATGACTAAACACAGAGCTTCTGAGGCAGTGCAACACAGAAGCAATTCAGAAAAAAAGTGGATTGTGCTGCAAGAGTGGTTTGAAAGACCACAGCGGGGAGGATGAAACTACAAATAATTTACACATTTCAAACTGGGGTTAGTGCTTGACGCACAAAAGATATATTCTGGTTGGAGTACCACTTTAAAACTGTGCATGCATGTTTGTGTTAATATAAATATGAGTACCTAATAGCAGCTCTTCTGTTCCCCTACAGAACCGAGTGGTCCGGCAGAACCCAGGGGAGAGAAACTACCACATCTTCTACGCCCTGTTAGAAGGAATCAACACCCAGCAGAAAGGTAGGTCACACTTTACTAAACTTAAAGATAGTAACAATTTACAAAAGTGCATTATCTAGAATGTGTTGAATGCAAAACTCATTTTGGACACTTAATAATAACACGGTTTTGTAATATAGGGAAAAACAGAAAAACAGAAAAGGTAACTGAGTGCATTTGTATTTGTGCTTGTTTGTGTTGTTCCAGAGGCATTCGGGTTGACCCACCCTGACAGCTACCATTACCTGAGACAGTCCAGCTGCATCGCTGACAAGACAATCAATGACAAGGGCACTTTTCAGGATGTTTTGGTACGCAGGACACAACTAGCTTTATCACTAAAAATGTACTTTTTCATTCCCACATACATACTGTATTATATTTCTGTATGATTCATTTATTCATAACCTTAAATCAGAATAAGAAACTGAGTATTTGATCCTGGTGAGACTGAAAAGTGAAACCACTGCTGCCAAACTCAGACCACCACTTCTGAGTCTGTCCAAACCTCCAGAATCCCCCAAAAGACTAATCAGCCTGCTGAAGACAGATGGTAACTACCAGCTGCTGTCAGAGATATTTTCAGTCTAGACCCAAAAGAAACAAAATTAGCTGGTGAGGAATTCAACATGTATCCATCAGACCGCCTGCCTGCCTGCCTGCCTGCAGCGAGAACATGAAGCTGTGACCTTCGTCAACTGCTTCTTTTGCGTGTTTGTGGTTCTCAGAATTCCATGCGAACGATGCAGTTCACGGAGGAGAACATTGGGGAGATCCTTCGCCTCCTGGCTGGGATCCTCCACGCAGGGAACATCGAGTTTATGACGGCGGGAGGAGCGCAAGTCTCCTCTAAATCAGGTCAGAGAGTTTGTCCTCACCTTCCTCTGTTTTACTTCTCTCCACTGTCACTTTCAGCATTTTCCAACTACTTTTTTTGCTTTCCTGTCAAGGTGAGACTGTCCTCACAAGAAAAACAACAACCTTAGTCATTGTCAGTATGTTTCCGTTAACATGAGTAGGGCCTGGCAGTTGTCAGGAATAAAGGCTTAAGTGGCTCTACTTTGTTGCGTAGCAGTGCAAAACGCTTCACTTTAGTTTCATTCATTTAACTACGTATGTGATCATTCTTTCCTTTCTTTTCTTCTTTAAATCAAAAAAAATGTAGCAATTAAAAATGTAACACTCTTCATTTGTTTAGATAAGTATGAATATAAAATAACATGTTTCACACAGTATGTTTATAGACTAATCCATCAAAGGAAAAAATCCACAGTTCAGTGAACAAACATGCCAAGGATGTTAGTCGTCATTAACATTGCTGGATGTTACAACTTCGCTTCCTGTGGCACTGAGAGGTTTGGCCCCCAGGGTCATGTTATCACCGGACTGAACAAATGCAAACGTATTTAATATACAAGAGTCAAAGGTCACGCTTGAAAAGGTAGCGGCAGCAGTTATTGATTATTGAAAAGGCCATCGTGGTGACGTGAGGAAGTGATCACTGGTTTGTGATTTTTACTGGATGAATGAGTAGGATGATGCTGGGAAAAAAAATTCATCAGCTGGATGTTACAAGCAGACATCTTTTGCTAATGTCAGCTTTAGAATGAGTTTTAAAATGAAATGTTCAGTCCAAACATCTCTGAAATCTCTGATAATGAGGTTTGTGTGTTTTATACATCAGCAGCCCTCAGCCGGACGTCTGACCTCCTGGGGCTGAACTCAGATCAGCTGGCAGAGGTCCTGACCCATCGGTCCATGATCCTCAGGGGCGAAGAAATTTCCACACCTCTGACTGTGGAACAGGTCAGTAAATGGCAGTTACCACGCCTGTACAATAACCTGAATGATCTCTACAAACACACCTAGATTGCAACTCAAGCTTTCCATTAAAAAATCAAGTAGAGATAACATCTTTTTCTGAGACTTGACAAAACTCATGCAGAAGACATTCACAACTGTTTTCACAGGCAAAAAGATGACTAGAAAACTAATCTCCATGGTGTAGTTTCCCTCTTTGTTACAAAATTAGACAACAAACCGTTCAGTGTTTGGTTAATATGGTACTAAAAAGGAGCAACACAGTAGTGTTCGGTACCTTTGTAGAACTGTTCTTGGTTATTTCAACTTAACTGTATGATCAGAGAAGGGTTGCTAGTAATTAGTCTAAAAGTGACAGAAAATTCCTCAATGCAGCTTCCCAGAGCCCAAGCTGATGTCTTCCAATGACCAAGCAAACGATGATATAAAACAGAAAAAAGCAGCACATTTGAGAAGGGAAAGAAAAATACTTGCTCTATTAAAGTGGTCAATTATTTTTACCTCAGTCAACTAATAATTTCAGCTGTAGGTCAGAATGAGAATTTCCTTAAAATAGATGTAGATACTGTAAAAAAAAGTTTACATATGTTAAGAGTTTTCATCATCTTTAATTGATTAGTTATTAGCCAATAAAGAAAACGTATTTAAAGCAAATGTACCATGAACCTTTGTTTTATTAATTTACTTTTAAGAATTTGAAGTTTGTAGCACTATTTTTCTGCTTTGTTTAGGGATTTAAATAATATCATTAGTTGTAGGTGCAGCAAAAGAAATCACAATTTCTCAGGCTTAAAACTTATAAAGTGATGCCATATTTCTGAAATAAAAATAAGATGTAAAAGAGAATAAGCTAATGTTATAAAGCCTGCTGCTCTTAAGGAGCCATAAGGTGTATTTACATATTGTTTTCTGTAAGTCTTACTTGGAGCTAAGTAACTTTCTGTGAAAAACATTTTATCTGAAATATAACAGTTTAATATGACAGGGTAAATAAATAAAGGATGACTGAATACTTTTCTGGAAACATAAAAGATTTTTCTTTATTCTGACTTTTCAGTAACCTTCAAACCACTGATTTTAACAAACTGCTTGGTACCAGTGACATTTTCCTTGTTTCTCTGCAGGCGGTAGACTCCAGAGACTCCATGGCCATGGCACTTTATTCTCAGTGTTTCAACTGGATCATTCGTAAGCTCAACATCCGCATCAGGGGCAAAGAAGACTTCAAATCCATCAGCATCCTGGACATTTTTGGATTTGAGAACTTCGAGGTATGTTTGAACCAGAGAAAAGATTCATCATAAAGTTCTTTTTGCACCATTAGACGTACACTGACATCTATCTGATATTTGAGGAGAAAAAACTCCTATGCTTTCTAGCTCCTTTTGTGTATCTAATAGGAACCTAGAATCTAATATTGTCTCAGGGATAAATACTTTATTAAATTTAACTAAATTAAATTAAAATCCCTCCCACAATCCCACAAGCACACTCAATTAAATTCAACAATATGACCTTTTATTCTCTTTCCCCAAGTATTTTAATCAGATTTTAAATGTTAATCAAGAAAATCGGTAAACACACCTCAGGGATGTCTTGTTTTTCACTTCATTAACTCTCCCTCTATGTTTTCTGTGTCTAATTTCTGCCTGATTGTGTTCCCCTCAGGTCAACCGCTTTGAGCAGTTCAACATCAACTATGCAAATGAGAAGCTTCAGGAATATTTTAACAAGCACATTTTCTCCCTGGAGCAACTTGAATACAACAAGTAGGTGGAGGTTGTTTACTCTTCATGTATGGTTTTTCACTCCAAAAGTCTGTCGTCTGTCATCACTTTTACTTTAGCCAGAATGTTGTTTTCTAACAAGCCTTTTGCTGTCAGCAAACAACAACAGTAGCCTAACATTTATCTCAGAAGGGGTTTAAATTTTTCATGCTGGGCAGATAATTGGGCTATCAGTCCAACATTACACAAGAAAGAATAGCCATAGCTCATACCTTAAAGATGTGAACACTAGGTTTTCCTCTGCTTTAGGAAAATGTTAAGGAGCTAGGTTAGTTTGTTTGGAAAATAATATTTATTTTGATTATTTATTGTTTATAGTTCAGGGATATCTGCCTTGCCAGGTGTCTACTATGTAATATTTATAACGAAATAAATAAAATCTGTTAATCTAATTCAATACATGTAAAATGTGATTTAAGGTAGCTTACCACACTAAATCATGTTAACTGAAATGGCAGTTAAGCTACTGAGCTAACTTACTGCTAGGTACCTTTAAGCAAGACTAGTTTGTGGTGTTACTTTTCCATAATGATTAAATTTATAGCAACTCACATGAGACTAAATAACTAAGTTCTTGGTATATTACAAATGTATATTGTTCAAACACACAGTCAGGACAGAAGGAGCGAAGGATTGTGGTCACTATCTCACAAGCTAGCTTTAACTTATAGTTCTTTGGCTTCTAGATCTCCTTAGACGGAAATTACACATTCAAGATTTCATTAACATGACATTAGAAAGCTGCCATGTGAGCCACCGGCTCACTCTTTAACTGGCTAACCTAGCATGGAAAATCAGAACCCTGCATATTGTAGCCTGTCAAGTATTATGATTTTACATTATATATAAACATTTCATTATTTCTCAGTGTAGTGTACAGTCCGACCAAATTATTACCTGATATCCTCCACCTCCACCAACACTCTGTTTTTTTATTTGAGTCTGCAGCCCTCCAAACTGTCTTGGCTGTGTTTGTCATCTTGTTGTGATATTTTTGGATGAAACAGAGATGGCCATGCTGTCAGCTGGTAGTCCTGATTGTAGGACTTTGCTACCTGCACAGGAGCACAGTATGAGGGTTTCCTCTAAAATATGAAACGCCAGGTGATGGTTGGACCAAAAGTTCATCTGAAAGGTCCACTGAAAGACTTGAATACGAGATCATAATGTGTTTACTTTCATGCCAAGCTCAGCTACCTTGAAATGCTGTCCTTTTCTTTATTTGCTGTTGTAAATTCTCTCTGACCCTTGTTGTTTGTTTTTTGGTTGCTTCCTGCAGGGAAGGCCTGGTTTGGGTTGACATCAACTGGATGGACAACGGGGAGTGTCTGGATCTTATCGAGAAGGTTTGTGGGTGATACCAAAACTCTAGCTCGACTGTGGAGTTATGTGCAGAAGGAAGTGGGATGTTGATGCTGCTGTGGATATTTTTGATACCTTTTAAAACAAATATTTCTAGAAAGTCTTGTTGCAGGTAAATAATGAGATGGTGTTGATGAAGATTATATTACTAGTAATATTAAGTTTCTGGACGTGTTTAACAAGAGGGAACAGGAAATTATGTACTTGGGAGGTAAACTTTTAAAATATGGATTTATGTAACTAAAAAATAATAAATATCAGAATAGGCAAGTCAAGAAAAAAAAGAGCGTCAAGATAGCTGTGATGACAGTGGTGAGGATAAGAACAAGTAAGATCATCTTGTTATCGATAATGATGATGATCCCTCTGTGTTTCCATAGAAACTGGGTCTCCTGGCGTTGATGAATGAGGAGAGTCACTTCCCTAAAGCCACAGACGACACCTTACTGGAGAAACTCCACAGCCAGCACTCAGTAGGTCTCCATCTAACACATTTCAGTTGACCCTTTCACTTTTCAACAACTTTTTAACTGCAGAGTTCTGCTTCACATCCAGTCTGTTCAACTCGAGAGTCTCTCATCAATGTGGGACTAACATTTAGTCCGGCAGTTTGTTCTCTAATTGCAGAGTGAAAGTGGGAACACACAAATGTTTGAATGAATACACTGGGCTGCAGTTTTTCTGAGTCTGAGCCTAATTAACACCAGACAGAAGCTCACACATTAAAAGCTAACAATGTGAAGACTTCTACTATCTAAACAAAAGAAAACGTAACTACAAATTGCAATGAGTGTAAAAAGGATAACAAGTCATCATCATTCAGACACTTTAAGGAATTATTTTGACAGAATAAGTTCTATTCTGTGTATGTGGTCTCAGAAAAACTTCCTCTGCGCCAGTGGAAGTGTTGTAGTACTCGAGACCGCTCTTGGTCTTAAGACCACTTTTTGATGGTCTTGGTCTCGTCTCAGTCTCCACCGCATTTGTACTCGGTCTTGCCTCGGACATTGAGGACTCAGGATTTTATTTCAAGACCATGACTTTGGGAATATCAATAAATTGCTTTTGCATTGTCTGATTTGTTAACATCCTAACTTTGATTTGAAGTAAAACATGTTGCTTCAAATGGAACCAATAACCCTAATTAACAACTGTCACCCCTCCCTGCGATGCTTACGTTGATTTCAGCTCTTAGTGTTTGTATGTGGGTGTTTTAATGGGAATGTGGATCTTTCAGATCAATTTGTAAAGTACCTATGATCTCATTCCACATTTTATTGCATGCCATGCTGGTTTTGGTCTTGACTCGGTCTCGCCCTCCCTCGGTCTTGGTCTCGACTGCTCTCAGCCTTGATCTTGTCTCGGTCTCGATAAACACTGGTCTTGGTCTTGACTTGTACTCGGTTTGGGCGGTCTTGACTACAACACTAGCCAGTGGAACCAGTAAGATTATTTCCACCGCCAGGATTAGCCTTTGTGTCGATAAGTAACTGAAATAGACTAGTCTTTTTCTGTCATTGTGAACAATTTCTAAACTTATGATGTGTCATAAAAATGACCCAGGTACAACTGTACATGGCCTGGGATGTGTCCCTTTGTTAGCTTGAAATAATGTTACAAGCAGTCTGAACCTGAAGATTCATATATGAACCTTACAGTTATAATTCACATTGCATTCTATAGTAAAAGTAATGTTTTTAGGATCTGTTGCTAACAGGATACTGATCCTGTCAGCAAATTCTGGCCAACAGCTGTTTACAGTTCTTGGCTTTTAAATCTGCAGCAAACAGCTTGACTTGATTTAAACACTGATGTGATTGCAAGCAGTAAATAGGTAGAAGACTTGTAAATATTTTCTTGGCTGTGCTCTTAGTGAAGCTTTACAGCCTTATTAAACAAGATTATGATCGAATAAAAGACAATTGGATACAACAAACCAGAGACATGAAGACAGGGTTGAAAGGGCGACTATAGGAGTCGATTCTTTACTCAGAGAATAATACAGTTTTTCTGATTCACAGAGACGTGTTTTCTTATTTTACAGCAGTATTAGGAGCACATTTTATGCAGGTATGATTTCAGTTGTTCAGCTCAGAAAACAGACCGGATCTGTAATCATCTGAAGTCTGCCTTTTTCTCAGTGACTGTGATTTTGTTAGTGATATTACAGAGGAGCGAGGAGTGTTTGTCAAAAGCAATTAAATGGTTTCCTTCCTTTTGCTGCAGAAAAACTCTTTCTATGTGAAGCCACGTGTTGCTGTGCACTACTTTGGAGTCAAGCACTATGCAGGAGAGGTAAGACCCTAATATCTGTGTTGCCTACTGTATGTTGTATGTTTTCTGCAATAGAACAAACTATTGCTCAAAACATTATAGATACCGCTTGTTTTTTGATAACAATCTTCACAAAAAATACTAAACTGATCCATTTAAACTGAATAGCTGCAGAGGAAGACACATGTCCAGGTAGTGCATCGCTTGTCTTTGTTCCTATATAACTCTCTGACGCCCCCCTGTGGTTTGTTGCAGGTGGTGTACGATGTGAGAGGGATGTTGGAGAAGAACAGAGACACTTTCAGAGATGACATACTCAACCTGCTGAGGGAGAGCCGGTAGATAGCAGCATTTCTAACTTTTTGAAGGAGAGGATTATGATTATGACTTGCTTCATCCTGTCTACTGTTGTAATTTTACAAATAAAAGAGAGTTTGGCATTAAATGCTTTGCTCAGAGGCACGCTGGACTGTGTCTCCAGACTTTCTCAGACCAAGAATTCAAACTGAAAGCCTTTCACTCTTCGATTTTAGCTGGACGAGTACAGGCAAACAAATTGAACATGTTTCCTATTCCAAAACTAACTGGTGCTTTTTCACAGCAAATGTATCATAATAAGTTTATCATTCTCCTCTGTGCACAGCTCTGCAGGCTCACCTGTTAAAATGTGTTGAACATTTGCAGTCTGCACCTTTCACAGCTACTTTTGTCAAGCAATAATCAAAACTCAAACACCTAAAACTAAACTTCCAGAAATACTGTTATAATCTCACTTTGATGTGATTGTCGTAGAGACTTACATATAATATTGAAAGTTAGTTTTTTTGGATACATTATTAATAACTATAAATAATTTCAGTCTGTCCATAGTGTGACTTCTTAAACAATGACTGATAACTGGGGTACACTATTAATATGGTGCATTATCACTGACACTTGAATAACAACTATTTTAATTGCAGTTACTATTAAATTAGGAAGATTTAATGTTCAGAATGCAATTTCACAGCATCTGTATCCTAACTATTCCCCTTTCTTCTGAAAGGTTGGACTTTGTCTACGACCTGTTTGAACATGTATTAAGCCGAAACAAACAGGACACTCTGAAGAACAGCTCCAAGCACAGACGGCCCACAGTCAGCACCCAGTTTAAGGTGGGTCATAAACAAACAACATGTTTACTGTTTACTCTTTCTCAAATACTGTGTCCATCAGTGCTAAGTATCATGACCACACAAACACTACAGAGCTCAATGATCTTTATTAGGAGAAGTTATACATAAGTGCGTGTTCTTTTTAGTTTCAGTTAATTCTGACACTAGTGGTAGTAGCATTAGGATCAGTAGCTATTATAGTAGTTGCACAAGTGGTACTGCAGTAGTGGCAGTAATACTAGTAGTGTTGGAAAAAATAACATGGCAGTATTAACAATTGCATTGTTAGTAGTAATAGCAATAGTTGTAATTGTTGTAAAAGTCAAAGTAGCAGTCTTAATATTACTAGTAATAGAAGTTATATTAGTTGTATTAATAGGAAAAAACTTGTAGTTATTGTGGTAGTAGCAGTTGTGGTAGTAGTGGTAGCCATTTCTGCAGAAATTTAGCGGCAGCAGTAGATGCAGAAATAGTGTAGTAGTACTAGAAGCAGTAGTTGTAGATCATTTGTGGTAAGTTGTTTTAGAAACCATAGTAGCAGCGGTAGTTGTAGTTATTACAGTAGTAATATGGTGATCATAATACTGGTGGTAGAAGGAGGAGAATTACAAGTTATTACAGTTTTAGTAACAGTTGCAGTAACTCATGCAATAACATTCACAAATAATGGTGATAGCAGTAATAGTATAAACCTTTGTACATTGTGGCCACAGTAGTTGCATTAGTAAAGGCAGTAACTTATGATTAAAAAACAGTAACTAATGTAGTTGTGGTGTATAATATATGTGCATTTGATGCATAACAGTTTGGAATAGCACTGTAGCAGCTAGTAGTAATAGTAATACCTTTTCTTGGAGAAAAGGTACTAAAAATATTAGCTGTCATACTAGTAATAGTAGCATCAGTAGTAAGTAAGCAACGTTTCTTATATGTATATTAGATATAGCACCTTTCACAGATAAATAGGTGATAGGTAGAAGTAGTATAAATATTAGTAGTTATAGTAGTAGAAGTAGTAGTAGTAGAAGCAATAGCAGTAAGAATAGTAATATTAGTACTAACAAAAGTGTTTGTTTTATTGCAGGTTTCATTGCACTCCCTGATGGCCACACTCAGCACTTCCAACCCATATTTCATTCGATGCATTAAACCAAATACACAGAAGGTGAGTGCTGATATAGGTATTCAGGACCGACCACACACACACAAACACACACACACTAGTACACACTCGTTACTTTGCCTAAAGCAAACATTAGCAGGTCAGGATGTCGGAGCACTGAAGTAGAGAGAGTGTGTGTGAATCGTCTGTCATTTAATAATCAAACAGTCCTCCCCCACCCACCAGCCACACACAGGAATGAGAGGTGTCTGGCCCTTTTGGCGCCCTTTGACCCCAGGTTGCCTAGCAACAGGCTGGAGTATTGTAGAATGTGGGGATAATGTACACAAATTATATACAGGAAAGAATGGAGGGATTAACCGTCTGCACTGTGACTCCCACCACTGACTGCAGCGAATCCATATTCACAGAATATTGTATTTAATTTATGTTTATTGAGGATATAAATATAACTTTTGTAATTAACCTTCTTAGAACTCCTATAACCAATCCTAACTCAAAATGCATCTCAGTTGAACTGTTTTGTGTACTAATATTGCAAAATTAATTTTCCAACGACTGAACTCATGACGTGATTTGTGCTGGATACATACATGTTACACTTCTGTTTTCTGCTCTGGAAAACATTTGCATTTGGAAGACACTGACTTTTAAAAAAAAAATGTTAACCAGGATATTCTCTTCTCAAGAGTCCTGGCAAAAATGGCATCAAAGTTCACAGGCAATAGAAAACAACAGAAATGACAATACAGTAAAAAACAACAACAAAGACACTTGACGATGAGAGAGCCCAAATCCCATCCCCCTCTCATGTTAGCATCTGTTAGTGTTGGCCAGGCGCTGTTTCATAGAGTTATTCCTTTATCTGGCTTCCTAAATTCAGACGCACGATAACACAGTTTTCTGTCTATATGAAAAGTAAAATCTATTACAGCATGAGCAATGAAAGAACCCCTCTAGGAGAAAAGACATCAAAAGCCTGAAAGACGAAGGGGCTAAGGCTGAGCTGGAAATGGAGCCTGACGTTGGATTGTGGGTGAATTTGCTTGATTGACAACTGTCTCAGCATATCATGCTCAGTCATGGAGGAGTCATGGAGGTTGCTGCTTCCTCAGTCCGCTTTAAGAAGCGACCAGGCTCCACTGCCTTAGCTCTATATTTTATTTCTGGCTTGTAACGTCTACAGTCTGTGGTTTGAAACGAGGCTTGAAATTGACTTAACTCCCCAGGCTGCCGTGTATTGACTAACTCACTGGCAGAACTATTCTTGGATCAGTATCTTATCGATGTCTGTCTGGATGCTTTGTCGACTCATTAGCAGCATCATTGCAAACGTCAGATGTGTCACGTTGATGTAGAAATACAGTCAGTAGTGGAATCGATTCACACTGATTACTGATGTCTGTAATTATTGATAGTTACCATGACTAGTCATCAGTAGTTGTTAGCTACCAGAGAAGAGTCCCTGCTAACTGGTTGTATGGTTTAACTGATACAGTAGTAGCTGACAGTGAATATTTTTAAAACTGCTTTACAACATTAAGCTGTTGTAAAGCAGTTATTGTCAGAATGTATGTTCCCAGTACAATTATTTCTCCAAATATTCTCAAAATGTTTAACAAATCCACCAGCCAAAAAGCATTTTATCAACAGCTTGCAGTGATAAGATATAGATAGTTTTCCAGTGGTGGAATTCATCCTCAGGCGGGCATATTGTAGAGTACAGTGGATATAAACAATTCGTCAGTATCAACAGAAATAAACAGAAACTGGCATGGCTGTGAGATTAGATTATATCATAATGACAGGCGTTTATGTTATTTTGTCCATTTCCTGTTTCTTCACACCACTCATTGCTCTGCCAGGCTCAGATGTGGACACTTTGTACAGATGTAACACGTCTGTACCGTCAGTGAAGAGTGTTTCTGTCTGTAGAGTTTGATGATTCACACCGAGACCCCTGTGTGTGTGTGTGTGTGTGTGTGTGTGTGTGTGTGTGTGTGTGTGTGTGTGAGAGATGATTGCGTCCACGTGAGTTTTTACATTTTATTTATTTTTTACTGTGATGAAGGGTTGTGAGTACATCTGAGAAGCAAAACACTTTTTGAGCTGTGAACAAATTGTGTCCAAACTGTCAAGAACCACAATCTGCGGCCATATTGTTTGCCTTACTTACCTGATTTCAGTCACAGTTTTGTTCGCTTCACACTGTATTTACGTTGTGCTTATTTTACCTACCACCCTCAAAAGTCATACATGGCATACTGTGCACGTAGTGAGCAGTCAGAACAGTTGGTCTGATTGCTCATTAAAAAACTCTGTATACTGCCATGAAGTTCAAAACCAAAAGTGTACATGGGAAGCCTTTAATGTTTAGTTTAGTTTAGAGTCTGTGTGATTCTACTCTGCTGTCCTTTTTTAATCTGAAGGACAATTTTATTTCTTAAATTTCCGATGAATAGATACACAATACATATGCATAGATAAGATACACACACACTGTGGACATCTTTGTTGTCCTCTGGAGACCAGCGGGACAGCCGGCGTGTTTTTATGAGGCGAAACACAACCGTCTGCACTCCTCTTCTGATTGAATGTTAAACAAGGCTGGATGATGACTTTTGAATGGGGCTTAATGTAGTGAGGGAAGGAGGTGGGGGGATGTTAGGGCTGCCCCAGTGGGAAAAAGGGTCAGGACAGGACGGCACGCGGCCCCTAAAAGCCCCCGAGAGGCGTCCCTGTCATCTGCCTGTTTGACTCTGAGCAGGTGTCTGATGTAAGGGGGGGCACGAAGATGGACGCAGAAAGGATGATGATGGTGAACAATAATAAACCCCTAAAAATCAACACTTCAGTGTGGAAGTGTTGCCTCAGAAACCTTTAGAATTAGTTTAAACTTTTAGCTCCTCTGTTTTTTGAGACATTTTTGGAAAGTAAAGACATTTTGGGAAGTGAGGAGAGTTTAATTTGGTGACTAACAGACTATTTCGGTGCGGTGATGTAACAATGTGTTGAAAAAGCCTGCAGGGTCATGAGACTCCTGCAGATGGGAAGTGGAGTCTCTGTGGAAATATCAATATATTGACTGAATGCATAATAGTGTGGACAGACTGTTGGCTCTAAATAAAATTAGGACCCACATAGACATATGAACACACACACACACACACACGTGTGCACTTACTGTACACTTTGAAATAGTCACACACCAAAGACACAGGAGTCTTACCAGAAAGTTACTTCAGTGATTGGGGTGTTTCTACCTGCACTCATATCAGATGTTTCCTTCTTGTTGTACAAAAGAAGACATTAGTACAAGACTGCCTCATAAAGGAAAAATACGGTATTTTTCAATCTGGGTTTTATTCTCAATTGTGGTTATTCTGAGTATGGGTCATGCTAACTTTGCATCTGCGTTGTAGAGATTAGAGAAATGCAGACTGTGGGAAAACATCGTACATTCGGACAAGGATAGCGAGAGTCCTAAATCCCTCCAACTAAACTTTAGTTTAACATGAGATATATTGAGTGCTTGTCTCTGACTCAGACCAAACATGAATAGAGAAATGTACCCTTTTGGATTTGTTTAAATGAGCCAAACCAGAAATGTGATTGCTTTGAGCTTTAGATTTTCTCTATCAATCTTTTTCTCCACTTTACAAAAGTACTGTTTTCATTTTCTGTAAAAAAAAAACAACAAAAAAACCCAAAAGTGATAAGTAAACAAAGACATAACAGTATTACATCAGAGTAATAATGACACCTCCAATACATCAAATTAACTCTTGTTTTCTTTTTTTGTTTGTTTTATGTTATAACTTTATACTTTGTGATTTTAATACTTTGTTGGTGTGCTTATAAGACAGTCAGACATAAAGAATTCAGTTTGGATAAAAGGATGATCAGCAGGCAGATGTCAGCATTTCCAGACATTTTCCTTTGTGTCTTTTAAGCACAACAACTCCCTATTCATGCTTTCTCACACACGCACACACGCGCACACACACGAACACACACACACACACACACGCTCGCCCGCTCATAAAAAGCTGTCATCCTCATCATCTATGCTCATCAAATGCAGTAGCCCGTCACCATAGCAACCCCATCCTTCTGTAGGCAGCATTATAGTGTGTGTGCGTGTGTGTGTTTTGACAGTAATAACAACTATGGAGGCTGATCAGAGTCTATTGATTTTTGTTCTTGTTGTTAGCAGGACTGGACATGTATTGACAACACATTGCTGTGTGCTTTTGTATCTCTAGAAGAATACCCACATCTCTGTTATTACTGTCAGTTATCAGTTTAACTAGGATAAATCGGATAAATCAGTGTCTCTGTCTGACTCCTTAGTCCCAGGAACCAAAGATATAATTGTAAGTATTGTAATTGTTATTATTTAATGTGCATTCTAAATGTGCTCTAACTCTCAAAATTGAAGCCACAATGTATAAGATCTGAAAAACTTTGACTTTGACACCCCAAGCGGTAGTATCAAAAAAGCTGAGATGTCACTTGTGCACACCAAACACTTGAATAATAACTGAATGGCACATTGTATGGTTCATGTAAGTCAGGGAAGGGTATGCTAATCTTAGCATGCTAACAGCCCATGTGCACATCACCAGCAGTCGGATCATATTTTAAAACAAATCATGCGGGCAGGAAAAGACACAATTCCTAAACAAATTCAAATTTCACTGTAAATGTTTTTTTATATATATTATAACATAACTGTTCAATTAAACTTTGGGCTCTGATTAGTTTGCATGAGAAGAACAGGCCTCCTGTGTGGACAGAGATATTAGCTTCAGTCTAAGAAACCCGAGCAAAGTCTGATGGCTGGATACAGAGCAAGCTGCCGGGAACAGTGCTGAGCTGGGAGGCAATGACAGGTCACAGGTCCGCTGGCCTGAAGACTTTTTCCCATAACATCCACGACAAAAGAAACTTCTCTGAAATGTATCTTTGTATAAATACAACTTTGGAACACAATATCCAGTTCATTCATAAGCAAAAGCAGGGTTGGCAAAGTCTGAAGA